GTTAACACAGTTTTATTATTAAGATACACAACAGTCAGGCTATTTTGTGGCGGCAACCCTAACGTGAACTGTACAATACTCCGTAATCCACATTAATGGAGACTAGCCATCGAGACCAACCTAGATTTTTTCCTGCTTTGTCTTCCTAAAACCATTCTCAAATTCTTATTATATTTTTGTTTTAAATGGATTTCGCTTGTAATCTGTTTATGGAGAGAGAAAGTGATAAAGGAGTTCCAATAGTCCGAGTAAAATATTGTTTTGGACTAAAAATGGTTCACCATCTTAGGGTAGAAACTACCAATCAGTGGGCTATATAATATGTCGACATCGTGAACATGCGGTATAATTCACAACTAGTAGTAGTAGTTTTTTCTTTGTTTACTTGTTTGCTCTTATTATATTTCATATCCTTCCCTTTCCAAGGGATGTTCCTATCTTTTGGATTCTTCTAAATCCGAATTGAGATCCGTAGAACTATATCCATATAATATGTGTAACATGGCAATAATAAGCAATCACGTTTTTAATACCTACACTTTACGATGTATACTTTACCGGCGCCTAAAGGCTGATATAAAAATATTACGATGTTATAAACCTTTTTATTGAGTGATAAAGACATGTTAAAATGTCCTTTATTGTTAAACGCAAATGGATTTAAAGGGGTTGGTAATTTATTAGAGAAAACAGATACTTTTTTCGGTCCGAGGACAACGATACTCCGATTATTCAGCCAGCTATACAACACTAACTTAAATTTAATATTTTTTATTATCTACATTATACAGTTACTTATTTTAGTATTATTAAAGACCAAAAGAACAACTCTTTTATATCATTGGTACTATAACTATTGACCTTTATTAAATTGATGATTGAGTGTCCTCGCTATTTATGTAGAAGAATTCATAAAAAAGTATGATTATAAATGCGTAGTTATAAAACTTCAGATATGATTAGATCTAAAAAATGAAACCATTTTTAACTAAATCGTGTAAATATATTTACTTTTTTGTCAAACAAACCAACGTTTCGGGCCCTTTACAGGTCCCATGGTCACGGCTGACTGGGACTTAGCGATCGCGAAAACCTAAGAACTGGACAGTCGATACCTCCATTTTGGTCATCTCCTGTTATTTTTGTAATATTTACTAATATTACGCTCCCCGAATTTAGTGAAAAAAATGATGAAACAAAATTTAAAAAGAAACGAATTTTGTGAAAAAAAAAGAAATAAAATAAAAACAGAACAGGCGCCTTACCATGAACTCTTATTACGGTTCAGTTTAGGACCTAAAATTAATCATTGTGAGACAGACTACATGAAATCTAGTATATCACCATACCGCTTTTTTGTCGTTACGAACCTATATTGAACTGTAATAAGAGATCATGGTAAGGCTCCAGGTTCAAAAAATAAGTTGGCGTATTGTTCATTGGAGGTATCTCCATATATTATAGTTTTCTAATTTCAAAGTTATTATTCTTTAGAACAATAATAAACGTAATATAGAGTTATGATTAAAATTACTTATATCGTATTAAATCACAAAACAGAGTATGAAGTTCTAATTGAATTATATAAGTAACGAGTTGTTCGGCGATTGTTATTAATGCGGAATCGGCTTGAGTCTAAAACCTAAAACGTCTTTCTCATTCTTATTACATGAATATAAAGCTTTTTCTGATCCGCTTAATGCGATTCCATGTCGATAAATTCGGTGACTCAGTGTCGCGACCGCTACATATTGGCAGTGAAACTATTTTCTACCGACTTCGAACAAGGAGGTTCTCTATTGGAGTGTGTTTCTTTGTGTGTACGTTACACGATTACTCTGACGTTTCATTTTGTGAATCGATTTCGATGAATTTTTCGTTTCGTTGTCCTATTTAAATTTGACGACAATTTCCTACCTCTAAAGGTGGCAAATTAGGAAATAAATTCGGTTTATTAAATTTCACTTACTTTCTGTTAACAAATTGTAATAAGCATATAATAATTATGGCTGTTTACAGAAATGACAGAAAATGACCAAAAAATAAAGTTTGCCAATTACATGAATGTGCTTTTTTAAATCGTTATCGTAAGTATTCATTGGAATCAATGAAAATAAAATGTTACGGTAACGCAGAGCTGATCTGATAATAAAAATGGCAGATGAGAGGAACTCCTCAACTCCTCAACAGCATACAACAGTTACCTTTCATCTGAGTTTGAATTGTCGTTAAGCAGGCCGCGGCAACGAACACAGCGAAAGCAGATAAGTTTTGAAGTGGTTTGTTTAAAATAAAATTATATTATTTTGTCTTGAAAATCGCGTGTAATCGCTAAGTCAGCCGTTACCATGGGATCTGTAAAGGGCCTAAAACTTTGGTTTGTTTGAAAAAACAAATAAACGTAATTTAATGTTTATCGCAGTAGAGTACCTTGTGAAAGAGTTCATCCATTGTGGTACTGCCACCTTACCTATTTCTGCCGCCAAGCAGTAATGCGAGCATTACTGCGTTCTGGTTTTGAAGGGTAAGGGTGCTGGTGAAATTACAGGGACATGGGACTTGTCAACTTATGTCTCAGAGTGACTGGCGTAATAAAACTCTGAGTGGCACTGCGACTGCTATGGACAGGCGTGTCGCTTAACACCAGGCGTACGACTTGTTCGTCGTGTCACTTGGTATCATAAAAAATGTGCAAAAAGATATATAAATTTCCAATTACGTAAATATTTTTTGGTTCATCAATTTTGTGTCTCCTGTCAGTGCTAAAGGAGACGATATTATAATAAAATAAATCCGATATAAATATATGTAGGTATTATTTATCAATTAGTATTCGTTCAGTACTTAAAATTACCTACGGACTTAATTAAAATTACGTTTTGTTTATAAATAAGCGGATGAAACTGCCTATATGAAAATAAAACTATTAAACAAACCCGAAACGAATAAAGAGATCAAGATTGACAAGGTGTGGCCAGCGTATCAATGTTATTAAGAGATTTATCGAGCAGCTTCCCATATATTTAATGACGTCATCGTTTTAATTTCGTTTAGTCGGGCCGATTTTAAGAGGGCAATCAACTTGTCTTTTTGCTTGCCATTATGAGCCAATACATTTGCGAAGCTATGATTGATAGTATTTATAGATTACTTAATGATATAACTTTGAATCAGATTATTGAGTTCACTAGAAGTAATACGTAATGCTTGCCTAAGGTACGTCACAGGTATTTGTTGATTTATTATGGTATTTATTATAGTATCAAATGAAGCGGTGAATACGGCTCAGTACTTCTTCCAAGAGTTTATAGTGACAATTGCCCCTTATTTATTAATTTTGAATTTCCCCGCTGATGGGTTTGACTGCGCCACCGGAAAAACGGACGAACTGAAGATACCCGTGAAGACGTCCGTGACCGAATAACGGTTTCCATGCTAGTCTGCCACGCAGAGGTCCCAGGTTCCAGGTTCGATTCCACGGCCGGGAGAAAAATTTGCAAGGCCAACATATATTTCTCTCGTGACTTTGGGTGTAATTTGTGGTTGTAAACCGCGGTGCAGGGTTTTCTTAGTGCGGGACTATGAAAATTAAAGGCACGGATCTCGATTAAGGTGCAACTGGACTGTTCGTTCCAAGGGCGTGTTATAAGAGAGAATCCGCGCGAGTGTACGTTGAACAGGGGGGCGACCAGGATAGCGATCGCCTGAAATATATAGAAAGAGAAAGAAAGAAAACTGTTTATTGCACAAGCACAGACACGCATATAAACGAAATAATAATAAAAAATAAAAAATGTATTAAAACAATTGACATAATTATGCAGTACCTAATTCACCGCCATGCGTGTCGCGGCTGGTCGGACAATCGGGACTTACTCGGCTACATATACACATTTTTTTTTTAACACCATCATATTGATAAAAATATATATAAACTGCCTCCGTGGCCGAACGGTTACCATGCCGGACTGCCACGCAGAGGTCCCAGGTTCGATTCCCGGGCCGGGAGAAATAGTTGTATGGCCTACAATTATTTATCTCGTGAGTTTGGGTGTAATTTGTGGTTGTCTATGTGTGTGTCCATGGCACCCGCGACACAGGGTTTTCCCTAGTGCGGGGCTATGTTGAGTGTGTGCGTTATTATGCGTTATTATTATATAAATAATTTATTGAATAAACCGACTTAAAAAGGAATTACATCTATTTGCTAAGTTTTATTGAAATCGGTTAACGGAAAGTCAGTGAAATTGAACAAACCGGATTCATCCCCCAATTTGCCAACCGTAAAGGTGGAATATTTTCTTCAAATTTGAATGGAATCACTACAGAAGGACATCGACATCGGTTCACAACAGTCGGAGTAATCAAGTAATATTTACAAAAAACTGCCTCCTGTTTTGAAGTTGGTAAAATTTGGTTGGTTAAATTGTAAATTATTTTACGCGGTCGCCTACGATAATTGTCATTATAAACTCGTAGTAGAGGTACAGTGTTCCTCGCGTAGTTTTACTCCGATCTCGTAGGTCATTCACTACTCAGCTGATATTATACAATGCCGAAGATCTTTGCGGAATACTAAATAGAACAACAGGCGTCTTTGCTCTGTGATTGGTTTAATTGACGGGTTGACCGATTACCTGATTGAAATATGAGTTACTTATTCCTTTTTGGTTTTAATCCATATTAAAATGTTAAAAAGGGCACAAAAAAATTATCGGCATTTCACACCTACTTAGTTTATTTTATAAATAGATAGAAAATGTATTTTTCCATAAAATATTCACAATAGTTTACGCTTTAAGCTTCACTAAATTATATTATTTAAAAAAAAAAATTAAATGACATAAAAATGATTTCAGGTTTTTTAATCCTTTATTACATTTCAAATATTTTAAATTAGATAAAATTAAATTTAATTAAAAAAAAATATATATTTGTTTAAGGTTATTAATTAATTATACTTAAAAAATATACACAATAAAAAAATTCAAATAACGTACCAAAAAATAAATAAACGTTCCCGGCCCCATGGCACGGGAGTAGGCCGCTACGGCCTCCTGTTTTCAGAACGTTAGCTCCAACACAAATTAAGGCCGTACGACACAGGCCGCGCGAAATCCGCTTAACCCGTTCTCCGCGGTCGCCAAACTAAAATGTGCAAACTTGAAGATGCGCCTTTATATTACCTCTTATGTTAACTCGTCGAACATCGCAACTTATATTTGGCATATAGCCGTTTGTGTATGTGTGGGTATATTTCGGTAAAGCCTGCGTGTCAATGGGCGCTTGTGTGCTTGGTGACAAGTAGATTACATGCCCTGTATGTGTGTCGTGTTGCCTTATTAGGGTATATCGCGGAACTGGGATGCTGGCTGAATTTGCGTTATAGGTCGAAGTTTGGTGCAAACATAAATTACAGTGCTTCTATTTTCGCAATTTCCCTCGGCAAACTTCGTGTTTCGGCTGTCGTCGGGTCTTATTCAGCGGCCCCTTGCCTGTGGTATAGACCGGACGCTTTCAGTCGACTTGGAAGTATATAGAGTTGAGCATTTTAATTTATTATCCAATGGGGAGAAAGCCGCTAAAGTCATAGGCACGATAGATAATTTACAGGGTGTACTTGTATTTTTTATAAAAAGCCGATATTTTCAAGAAAGATAACAACGGTTTTGTGTTTCAATCGGAACAGTAAAGATTATTTTAAAAGAAGATTATAAAAAAAGATAAATCAGTTTCTTTTCATTTCCTTTACTTTATATTTTTGTTAACTTGCTTATTGATATGGAGTAAATGTTATTAAAAATAACATTTAGTCCAGTAAGTAAGTAAGTAGTTTAACAGGAAGTAGTTTTAGAGCTCTACATAATTCACACGGAAATCAAAACAAAACAACAACAAAGTACGTTGTACAAAATTCAAATTATTGTAGACTTTAAATCTAATAATTAATGGGCATGGAAATTAATATTCGCGTGCGTTCGGAAATCCGATGATTGCCGAGGGCCATTGAGGAAATAGAAGCACAATACATTTTTTATTGATTCTATTGATTTTTAAATTCAGAAGCCGAAAAAACATCCTCGGATATAAAAGTTATATATAACTTACGAGTCTTGCACCCAGAAAATTGTAAGAAATAAGGAGATTGAAACCTTTTCTCGACATTCAGGTAGATAGATGATTATATGTAAGTTATTTATATCACTTCATACTGTATCAATTGTTGATTGACGTACCATTATTTTTTTTATGATGCCAATATATCATAAAATAATAATAATAAAAATATGACTTCATGGACCTGGTGGTAAGTGACAGGCCTGTCCATTACAGTTGCAGTGCCACTCAGAGCTTTAAATCACAAAGATCTGAGGGGCACTGCCGCTGCGCCCGTCACCCTGAGACATAAATTGACAAGTCACATGTGCCTGTAATTTCACCAGCACCGGAACGCAGTAATGCTCACATTATGGCTTGACAGCAGAAATAGGTAAGCTAAATATTTTAATCCAGGTATAAGGTAAATCTAGCACAATATAATGTAAGGTAAATCTAGCGTCATATATAAAAAACTCTTAAATCCATATCGTCATAATTAATATTCTGATTTGAAAGCTTTTCTCTGTGAATGCTCAATTGCCGTGTTTAGTTGTAAAATTTTTATTATATGTTTTGACTTTTCTGCATGTATATTCCAATGTTCTAAGTAGAATATTCAGGTCATAGTCACCCACGCTGCCACAGTGCGGGTTGGGGACTTTACTTGTTTTTAAGGGTTGTGAACTTTCTTCGACAGACAGGTCACGATGTTTTCTGTCACCCTTAGCGCGAGGTGTTGCTACTAAACGTTTACAAATATAATTAACTAATAACTTAATATATGTACACATTAAAAAAAAAACCAACTTCAAAAATTTTTTGGAGAAAAGTTAACAATTACATCTATTTAACAAGTTTTATTGAGAACGGTTAACGGAAAGTGGTTGAAATCCAATAAATCTGATTTATCTCCTAATTTGCCACCCTTAGAGGTGGAATATTTTCTTCAAATTGAAACGGGACCAACACTGAGATACAAAGTCAAAGTCAAAGATTATTTATTCCATAGGTAAAATAAATTTACACTTGAAAACGTCACATTTAAGCTACTGCTCGTTCACTACGCTAACCTCCCTGAGAAGAACGAGCTAGAAACTCTAAGGATTGCTCTTTTCAAATAAACTTAAATGCTATGGAATACACTTTGAATCAAATTTGTGTGGATTCTGGAGCCATGTCGTCTTTCCATACATCTTTATCTAACACGTAGTCTTCAATTTTGTAATATGATTTTTCGATCAAAATATTTTTAATGTAGTTTTTAAACATAGGATATGATAAACTTAATATATGCTCCGGAATCTTATTGTAAAAACGTATACAGTTCCCCATAAAAGAGTTGTTTACCTTGGTTAAACGAAATCGTGGTACCATGAGTTTGGATTTAGCTCTAAGGTTAATATTATCAAATCAAATCAAATCAAATCATTTATTTCTTTGTGATACACAGGTTATAGAGTTGTTACAAGAATGAATTTTGAATCACTGTGATCCGCCTTATGGCATACAAAGTTTTCTTAGTTTTAGTAATTCTCATGCAATAATTTGTAATAATATTATAACCATGCAGTCCAATTAATGCAACCTAATACTAATGAAACATAATAACAATAGTAAAATAATCAATAACAAATTTAATAATATGAAATGTAAATTTTATAAGAAATCTTCAATATTATACAATGTCCTATCATTTAGGTAATTAAATAATAATTTCGTAAATTCTGCACAATCGTTGCAATTTCTAATTTCAAGTGGAAGTTTGTTATATACATACCTTCGTAGCCATTACTATTACACTCTTTTGAAGTAGAGCAGTTTCACATGATCTACTTTTCAGTTGATGAGAACGGCGGGCTCGTGTGATGAATTCAAATAAATGAAGATGACGATTTACGAAAAGTGAAATTTCAAATATATATAAGCATGGTAGAGTCAGTATTTTCAAATTTTTAAAATGTGGTTGACAGCTATCTGTTTTTTTCAAGCCGCATATAGCCCGAATACATCTCTTTTGGGCTTTGAATATGCGTTCAATGTGCGGTGCATTTCCCCAAAAAATTATTTCATACCTAAGGTTGGTTGCTACATAACCATGGTAGGCGGTCACTAGAGCGTTTAAATTTACTATTTTCGATAGCCTAAGCAATGCATAAGAAAACTTTAGTATCTTACCACATACATATTCTAGGTGTGTTTGCCATTTTAGATTATTATCTACATATATTATTATCTATATATTATGGATATCTTCTTTCTTATTGAAATTATGTATATTTTTACGGGCATATAAAACATTTGAGTAAATGTACTGTGATGCCACAGTCATGATACCAGTCTCCTTAAACTTTTATCTGAGCGAAACCCGAAAGCCTAGACGGTACACAGAACGAATCGCTCGTTTTTGTAATACAAATATGGTTTGAATATCTGCCGCTTTACCCCACATGAGAATCCCGTAGGACATTATACTATGGAAGTAACTACAGTAAACTAGTCTAGCAGTAGCAGTAGCATCAAAATCGGATGCAGTCGAATTGAGTACCTCATCCTGTTTTTGAAGTCGGTTAATAAGTAAAGTCATTCGTAAATGCCGGGAAAGGGAATAAAGGGATTCGAACAGTCTACCTCTCAATTGAGAAGCAGCCGTTCTACCATTAGGCTACCACCGCTCTTAGTTAAAAACAATGTGGGCGAAGGAAAAAAAGAAAAAGCATATCGTCCGTTTTCAAAGTATGCTAATTAGTTTGGCCCAATAGAGGTTTTGAGAGTTAACATGGGTTGAAAGTGTTTTGCGTACTTTGAAGTTTTCGTCGTGCTTATTTTTACTATAAAACAAGGAAGTAAATTATTATTCATTTAAATATTTCAAATATAAGTTGTGTCGCCGGAGCTGCAGTATCAACCGAGACGTTGAAGTAAAATAAATATTAATTTTATAATTAAGATCATTATGCTAACTTGGAGAAGAGTTGATGATCTTTAAATAACTGTGCAGATGTTCATCAAACGTAGCTAAAAGCCAATCCCTTGTTTAATAGGGATCTTTAAATAAAAAACAGCTTTGAGATAAGTTCATCCGTGTGAAAGCTACGATATCACAATCAAACATACAGATACACAGACTGACTGTGGTGACACATCCTGACGTTCAAAACATTTAATTACAATTATTAAAGTGACATCTACAGTCAGCTGCTAGGAGCTGTACCTGACTGAGTGAATAAATAAATTTCTCACTATGCTATGGCAAGAAAGTCATTAAAAAATCCAAAACAAAGATGCAACAAGGTCCGCTGGTTCCGTGGGTTAGTTTGCACAACATATTTTTTTAATAATATCAAGTGAGGGGACGGACATGTCGTGTGCTTGATGGTAAGCTACACACCTGTCCATAACGGTTACAGAACCACTCAGAGCTTTAAATTGCAAAGATCTGTGGGGCTTGCAAAAGATCTGAGGGGCACTGCCACTGCGCCCGTCACCTTGAGACATAAGTTGACAAGTCCCATGTGCCTGTAATTTCACCAGAACCCTTACTCTTCAAAACTGGAACACAGTAACGCTGACAATGCTGCTTGCCGGCAGAAATGTATATATATATATATATTTAAGGGTCGCTCGATGTGCTAGTGATTTCCGGCATTTTTTTGGGTACGCGGACGATTATGAAGAGATATGTATCCGATCTAAGTTCCAGTACGAATGTGCTATCATTTACAGGCGATGGTAGAGAGAGAGAGTGAAATTGACTGAGTGAAGATCATCGAGCGAGAAATATGAAAATGGAAACCATATCGTCTCTGACTATCTGAAGTATATTGGTATGATTTTCCACCACGAAGTCTTTCTTCTGTTTAGTATTTTTCTGCAAATATGAATTTCAACCACCACATCGAGCCGTCTACTGCCAAGAAATTCGACGTCCTTTATACATTCATTGAAAGTCATTACTCCTAACTGAATATCTTCTAATCCGAGGGCTGTAGAACCACCTGGTGATTGCTGTAACAAATTGTTCTTTATATAAGTGGATCATA